GTCCGCTCTTTGATCTCCTTGTAAACCATACACCCTTTATAGTAATTTAAACTAATGGAATTGTATAAACAAAAACAAGAGGAAATTAAGTAAATAAAAAATGAAATATTTTCATAATGTGATCGAAAATTAGTAACGTCGTCTTCGTCAGTGATTGAATCTGATAATTCCAATTCCAATTATACTCTTCTTAGTTTTGGACAATCTTGAAGTAACATTTCTCAAACTGCTTTCATAATCTGAATAAAAAATTCTTCTTCTGTTAATATTCATAGGTCTTATTTCTATAATAAAAAAAACTCCAATATTCCTGCAAAAAAATTGAAATATTATGTTTTTTATGGGTATGTGAACTCATTGTAATAAGTGTATGAAATATAGGACTTATAAGAAATGAAGGACTTGCGAAATAATACAAAACAAAATCAGCTAATATCTGATTACTTTGTCAAGAACTTGTGCTCCAATTAATCTAACATTATTATTACCATAAACTATTTTTTTCTAAAAATGGACTTATACCATAAATAACGGATCATTTAACGATAAAACACATTCTGTAGAAAATTAAAGTAGTCATACCTGGGTTAACATTATATCTGATATCGAAGCTTCTATATAACGGAGTAATTCAAAATATCGCTAGAATTTTTCTTAGAAGAAATTAAAAATAAAGTTATCCAGAAGGTTCAATGAAAACTTTGTTAGCAATGAAAAAAATGAAGACGAAATTAATGTTAACAAACAAAGATTTAAAAAGGTGCTTAAAGTCATTGAAAACGTTTTAATTTTTTAGTGAAAATGTTCCTGTGTCGTGTCCCAGGGATGGAATTCTGGACACAGTGGAATATCTTCTTCTGGTGTTGTCGTTGTAGAGTCTCAGTTGTAGGATAATTCAATTGGTTTAAAACCATTATAATAATTGGTACTCTTGGGGTTCTTTCGAAGACAATGTAGATACTTTAAGAGATTGACTAAGACTAATTACAAATACTTATTGTAGTAACAAAGTTAATTTATATTAATACGGACAGGGTGGGAGTCTCCTCAAACTCCCACCCTGCACGTTTTTTAAAAAGACGCTTCGCTTCAGGTCACTGTTCTCCGTGTTATCAGTTGAAAATACGAAGAAACGCCGCAAACGGTCACTGTCTTCTGTGGGACCTGCCTACTCTGCATATTGATTCTGTTAATGACCATAGGTCAGTGGTACCAACCTTTAGTGGTTCGACACAACACCTGATTTATTAAGAAGTGTTATTGCTAAGCGATCAATGTTAAAGACAATAACAAATTAAATGAAATAAAAAATAAACAATCAACTTTAGAGTAGTATTGTAAAACGTAATTTCACTTTAAATATAAGTAGTTTATTATTTTTTAAGTTTCGTTTAACCAAATAATTTTGTGGAACGTATCCTATGCATTAATGATAGGAGTGACAGTAGTTTTTTTTGATGGAAATAACCGAATTGCCGACCTTTAGTAACAGTAGAAGTAGAAATATTTCAACATAATTTATTAATGTCTTGAAGAATGCAAGTGAAGAAAATATTATTGTCATTTTGCTCAATTCTAAGATACCTTTATTGATGATTTTTTTGGGTAAATGACGATTAACATTTATTTCGGACGGAAAGACCTTGATAGCCCTTTAATAAAAAATATTTGTTTTATAGACCTTAATATTGAATTTCAAAACCATTATTAAAAAAGAATGAACTAAAATATTTTAATATTTCAATCTACTTTAAATATCTACATCAAAATTAAATGTATGATTGGAAATTACATTTTTTTTTTGTTTTAATTTCAACTTTCTCAACACAATTAATAAGTATATTGTTATATAAATATTTAAATACCTGTTGTATGTTAATTAAGTTTATATTTATTAGTACGTATTTCTCTTGAAATAATATTGAACTAGATTCCTTTAGAAATATATATTTGTACATCCAAGGATTAGTACTTTCACAATTGAATAATTAATGAAGTTAACATGATGTAATATACATAATTTGTGTATTTACGATTCAAATAATCCATATAATTAGTATACTTTTAGATATTAGTATTATTTATTTTTATAATTATTTGTTATTAGAGTATGCATAAAAAACCCAATTTCTTTTTTAAGAACATTTTGTCCAGAGAATTTGATTTGATTCATAATTTTTTTAAGTTCCCATTGAAAGGAATTGTATTGATCACCCAAATATTCAACACTACACTACGTACAGGTTACATTCCAGCGCAGTGGAAAGTTGCACAAATTATAATAATAGCAAAATCAGGAAAACCGATATTATCAAAAGTTTTCGAAAAACTTCTTGCTAACCGATTACAACTTATTATAGCGTCAAATAAACTGATAGCAGACCATCAGTTTGGTTTTGGTTGTAAACACGATACAATAGAGCAAGTAAATTAAATAATAAATACCATCTACCAAGTCCTGAAAAGTAGAAGATAATGCTCGGCTGCTTTTTTAGGACATATCGCAATCATTTGAAAAAAGTTTGGCATCTCAGACTACTATACAAATTAAAGAAGAACTTGTCATAGAATTATTTTAAAATAATGAAATCATACCTGGATAATAGAATGTTCAAGGTAAAAATTGAAGACGAATACACCGATTTATATCCAATAGAATCAGGGGTGCCGCAGCTTTAGGACCAACGCTTTACCTTCTATAGACGGCAGATATTTCCAAAACTAACAATTCTACGATTGCAACATTCGCTGATGATAGCCAATCTTGGCATCAGATGAGAATCCAGCAGTAGCATTTGAATATCTACAGGAAAATTTAGATAAGCTACAGGAATGGCTCAAAAAATGGAGAATAGCAGTTTGCGAAATGTAATCTACCCAAATCAACAAAAGTAAAAATATCTAGACATGCATCTCGACAGAAGACTCAAAAAGAAACAAAAACACAAAGATCTCCATATGGATATGGTCGAGGATTCAATACCAACATTTAGTAGTAGATGCCAAGATAGACTGGAGTCACATACTAATGTTCTGGCTATTTGCCTAGTCGGCAACAGTGAAATAATAAATTGGCTGAAGCGTTGAAAACCACTGGATTTAGTCATCTATATACTAAGTAATTATGAATGTTCAATATCATCATAATGGTAAATATCCACCGGGAAAGTTTAGTTATTCTTTAAGCATGTGATATTCTTTAGAAGAAATCCTCCTAGTCGATGGTCTGATACTTGTTAGAGCACAAAAAATAAATAAATAAATAAGTGTATAATAAATAATATTATTATCTTGATTTTAAGAAAACCGTAACAATATGTTAATGTGCATTTCTGTTTTTTCCAAAGAAACAGCTCCATGAGAAATGTTTGGGAACCTTGGGTTCTTCGTATGGTGCGTAATCCCACTTAGCTCTGTAACCTCTTGCAAATATACTGAAGACAATTAAAGAAGCGGCGCAAATATATGATGTCATTAAGAGGAAGGATCGCCATTCCTCTAAATTATACTAAAAATATATTTTAAAACTTAAAAATGTTGAAAGTAAAAAATAGAAACTCACTGTTCGCGCCAAATCTTTCACTGTGTAACAGAAGAACATAGAGAAGAAGACACCGATGCTGTTGGCCAAACCCATGATAAATCCGGCGTGATTTACACTTATATCTAAGATACTAGCGTTGAAGTAGGTGCCAATTAATAATGCTGATAAAGTGTAGAGGATGAGGAAGTTTTTCATGTTGCAAAGCATATGGAATGCAAGTAATAGAACAAGCGACGGTGCAAGGATACCTACGGATTAAGTAAGATTATAAGAAGGTAGAATTGATTTAACTTTGCTACAAACCAAAAAAGCACATAATGATTCTCACGCAGATCGGTTTGCAACGCTTCCTCGAGATTACGAAGTCCGAGATGATACCTGAGATCATCCCAGAAACCGTAATAAGAACGAGCGGAAATTTGGACAGGATCATCTCGTAGTAAGGAGGCAAACGGAATACCAGGTTCAAATATTCGGGTATGGTTATTATCTGAAGCGCGATTATCATCTCTGAAGCGGTGTTGGTCAATATTACCGCCCAGATGTTGATATCCATCAATATTGCCGTTACCGGCGTTTGGATGTAATAAGCCTTAATATCTGCAACAAATCAATTTGATTTTCACATGAAAATTTATACTGGAATGGAGTGGAAACCTAAATTTTTCTCCAAAAAGTCTCGTTCTCGCAGACTGATGAAGTCGTTTTCGAACGGTCCGCTTGAGCCGAATGCGCTGAACAGAAGACACCATATAACTCCGATGATAACCCACATATAAAAAATGTACATCCAATTCTCTACGTGGTTCATGAATACGATCGTGACCAAGCAACAGAAGACCGAACCGAAACCGTACATGTCGAACACCAAAGCACCGCCTGTTGATCTCTCCTGGTACGGGATCCACTGAACTAGTAGGCAAGTCAATCCAGGATACAGAACGGCCTTTTTGTACCTAATTAAACAAACAGATTTTCCAGCAAAAAAAGTGTAATATTTACCTGACCTACTCCCATAAAACCATTCGTCAATATTAGATTGATGAAGTCGGAGTGTTTGAACATTATGGGCACGATGGCCGTTGCCACCGACGAGATGGCCATGCCTGCAATAAGGAAGGGTTTCGGTCCGAAGACATCGCACAAGTAGCCAACCGGTAGTTGCATTACGAGATATCCGGCGAAGAATCCCGAATGTATGTATCTTTCATCGTACATCGTCCAATTCAATTTGAAGCTGCTAAGAATCTATATGACTAGTTGAAGAGAAGTCTGTTGTTAATAGACAAACCGTTTCTTTCTTGGCATTATCTTCCTTTAGGTAAACTTTTAAGGTTTCAGAGGAAAATCCTTTGCAGCCGGTGTTCTGCGTGTAATTGAGCGGTACAATGTGCTGGTATGAGAAGTAGAAAGTGTTTCTCTGGCAGAAACAGATGATCATCATTGTTATGGCGAAGATTATCATCAAATACCTCTTCGGTAACTGGCATCCTGCATAGATCAATTACTCAATTCTACAATCGTACAATACACTTCAAAACATTACGTCGCTGCTTCCTCAAATTCGATGTAATTGTAGTCAAATCTTGATGATTATATTCAAATTCATACATTATCAAAGTTATTAATTATCTATTTGCCAATTGAAACATTGTGACGTTAAATTTAAACTGTCAACTATTTTACAACAAAAATAGTTTTTGTTAACTCTAAAAGACATTATTATTGACTTACAGATAATCTTTTTATCAATTTAATTTAGGTATTTTGATTGATATTAGTAAACAGATGTTCTATATATAATTAAAATAATCTTCCACCAGGATAATTACAAATAATCAAAACGATTTTTTTTGTGTTATACAATAATAATAATTTTATTATATATTTATTATAAATTATATATTACAGTATATCCTCGAGCATAATCCGTTCCGTTCCAGATTTTTCCGGATTTTTACTCTTATAATGAAACAAATGTAAAATACTATGCGTTCCATGTCGGTAAAAAAAGTATAACTTAGTCTGACTTTTTAATGATTTTGTTTTTCATATCTATGGTTCTTTTTATTCGGAGACATGCAAATGTTATTAAATGTTTCACAAATAATATGTGAACACAAGTTTTGAAAATGATGTAGCAGGCTCTCAATTCGGGTCATCTCTTCTCATCGTCACTTTTTATGCGAAACGTCGCTCGTTTAGCGAGTCATTTTTACAATTTATTTTACTCATGAAACGAAGTACCACTGTATTATATATTTATAAAAATTGCTTATGGGATAAACTGTTGCGGCGGTAAATTGTCATTTCCATCTTCAGAATCCCATAGGAACGCATCCTAGCGCTAAACGAGATATTACTGTAATCTATAATTCATATAAATGTTTTTATGTAAACTTTTTATTGCATAAATTTAAATACGTTAAATTTAATACGTTACCTAATTGTACGGAGTTCTATTTTAAATAAATAAACATTTAATTTACATAATATAAATTAGGGGGATATCTGTACTTATGATCTAGTTGCGTTCCAAAAGAATTGTTCGTAAGTCGGGTTCGTAGCATGGTTTTTACTTTCGTATTATTGACTGCATAAATTTGAAAAAATAAATTAAAATAAACTAAATACTTACAAATACTTTTCAATGTATATATATATCACAATTATTTTATAAAAAACGACAAAATAAACAAATGCAACAAAAGAGATAGTACATCTTCCAAAAATATTATATTTTTTTAAAGAAATTATCAATTTTTGATTGGACTATTAATTTTTTATCACTATATATCTCCTTGTAACAAGTTAGAGCTGTTAGAATTTTGTTCGTAAGTCGGGGGTTACCTGCCTAGTACTAGCTTTATAATAATATAAATATCAACATATTCTAACTATTTTATATTGTAAAAAAAGTTTAGAAAATTATCTGAAGATATTAATCTCAGTTTACGTTAACATTAATTCAATTATAATTAATTGTATTAATATTCGATAATTTAATAATTTTATTTTGATTAAAGTAGAATATGAATGTATATTTAAAATGTATGGTAGTTTCGCATCGAGTCAAAATTACAAAAGTTTACATTTGTATTCAGTTAATCTATTTGCTCTCCCGCTGCTTCCCACTATCTGAAATAGACAACACGTAACATTCATACAAGAAGAATATATGCAGCTATAACAATATAACTTCTATTCCAACCAACGTTCTATGCAACCTAGCGAGCTTCTGTATTAATAGCGATATGTTGTTACGAACCATCGGCGACTTTATTTATAGCAGTAGAAAATTGTGTCTGTAGCAGGCAAATTTGTTACATATATAAACGCCATACATTTTTTATTTACTTGTAACATAATGGAGCTTACGACAGTGATAAAACGGAATGAGATTTATGGAAGGTGAGCAGAATTTAAAATTAATGTGTTTTTTCAATTTGTATTGATATCATGTTAACTTGCTAGGTATTTAGTAGCGGCGAAAGATTTGAAACCCGGAGAACTGATACTGAAGGAATGTCCGCTACAGGTAGGTCCGCAGACCCAGGCGATGGCCATGTGCTTCAACTGCACCCTGTACATGGCTTCGGAGAGATCGTGCGAGGTTTGCGGCAAAGCGCTGAAATGTTCAGTTAATTGCAAAGGAAAATTGCATACACGTGAGGAATGCGATACGCTGAGTAGAATGATCATTAAGAGCGAGGATTTTCTTAAGGCTCCGCAAATAATCCTACCTTTACGTTGTTTGTTATTGAAGCAATACGATGCGAAGAAGTGGGCAGAGTTTCTGGAGCTGGAATCTCATTTAAAAGAGAGAAAGGACTCACCTATTTGGTTTATCCATAAGGAAGGTGTATACGACGTGCTGAAGAAATTAAATGTAGATGTTGATGAAGAATTGGTGCAAACTATTTGCGGCATTTTGGACGTGAATAGCTTTGAAGTGAGACCACTCTTCGCGGCTACTACTCCACAAGAGTGCCTTCGAGGCGTCTACCTGAAGGCGGCTTTGATGGCGCACGATTGCACCCCGAACACTCACCTCTCCGTGGATTTTACATTCGAGATGACAATAAGGGCTAACAGATTTATTCCCGCGGGAGAAACAATTTTCTACAATTACGCAAACGGACTCCAAGGCAGTGCAGAACGAAGGAAGCATTTACATGTTGGCAAATATTTTGATTGCACGTGCAAAAGATGTGGAGATGGAACCGAGCTTCAAAGCTTCCTCAGTTCATTAATCTGCACCTCCTGCAAGAGTCTTATATCGTGCGCAGAACCTCTGAAGGATATATATTCTTCAGATTGGATCTGCGGAAAATGTTCCAAGACTATCAAAGGAAATTTAGTGGAAAACACTATAAATCATAGCAAGGAGTTAATCAATGGTGCTTCAGCCTTAACAACTTGAATTAGCAATCCAATAAAAATCATTAATTTCAGATTATTCAAATCTACAAGAAGCGGAAGGCATTCTGGAGAAGTTGAAAGTGACCTTAGGACCTAATCACTACATAATACTTGAGCTAAAGCAAAATATGATTTCGTTGCTGGGAAACTATGACGGAGAATTGGAAATCAAACGGAAGATCGCACTTTGCGAAGAACTAATCTCCGTTTTACGACTTTTAGATTTTGGAGACATCTCTCGCCATCTGGGCATCGCGCTCTACGAACTGCACAAGGCCAAATCTCAATTGGTCTACGAAGCATATAATTGTAACTTGGTGGATGTGTGCCAATATTTGGAAGGTCTGCAGGAAGCCCAGAATATACTGAAGGAGTCTATGAAGCATTTACTCTACGAGCCAAAGTGCAGTCCAGAAGGAAAATTGGCGCAGAGGGCGATGAACGATCTGCGAGTATTGCGTGGCACATCTTCCGATTTGGAAAGAATCTTAACGTTGGACTGTGCATAATATATATCATCTTTTATAATGACTGTAATTAATAAAGGAATTTGAACAAAATAAACTTAAAGAAGTTACGTACATAAATTTAATTTATTTAATTAATAAAATTATAGTAAAAAATAACAGATTAGAAAGAAATGCAAGATTTTGGAAACACACCGATAACAACGGCAACGCTCAAAAATAAAACAAAATGTGTAAATAGGATTTTAAAAAATATATATAGGGACAACATTTATTATTAGTATTCTTTATAAATAGATTAGATTATATTTATATATTTATATATCACGCAAGTTTCTTTTATGGTTCTTGAAAGAAAATCGAACGAAAGGATGTAAAGATTCCAAATACATAAACTAATAAAAAATATACTTTTTAGAAGACTAGAGAAGCTCCGAAATCACCAAACATAAGACGGGAAGAGTATAACTAAATAAGAAGGGTATGTGAAGATTGGAGAGAAAATACTAAATTATTCAGTTAACCATTGCAACATCACAGGTATGTAAATATCTTCCATATTTGGAAATACCAAGACTTTCTGAAATTCTTTGGAAAGCTTCTTCTCGATCCAGTTGGTAACTTGATTGAAATTTATGTTTCGTTCACCAACGATAGGATGAGCAGACAGATTTATGCTTGGCGATGGCCGGAAGCCGTACCACAGCCGATCGGAAGGAGGTGTCGGAATGTTGAATGCTAAACATCCACTTAGAGACTTCAATTCCACTTTCAAACGTAGGTCAGTTTTTGACACGCCCTCCATGGCCTTTTTCACAAACTTATTCTCGCTGGCAGCCTTGAAAAACTTTGACTCTGCAATCCGATCCACCATCTTCATGATTCGCTTGCTCTTGTTGCTTGGTCCGCCGTTACCCTCTGGAACTTCCACATTACTAGGAGCCATCTGCACCGAGGAATCTTCGTCGGTGCTACTCTCGGCCGTATCGTCTACATCCGAGTGATAAATTGGGGACTTTTCGGAACCCTTCTCGCCCGAGCAAGGCTGCGGCGGTTCCTTCAACCTCATCAGATTCAGCTTCGTCTGCAGAATCACCACGATCTGACCCTCATACTGAATGTCCATGTCAACCCACAGACCCCAATCATTCGTCGTAGGTTTTTCGATTTTGACGATGGACGGCGCCGTTTGTCCCAGAGATAATTCAGTAATCGTCAGCTCTTCGATGAAGTACGGTAACTTTATTGAGCTTAATTTGCGTTGAATACGTTCCTTGATCTTACCGATCAGCTCTTCATTTCGCATGCAATCGAACATTACCCTTGTAATCAACGCATTCAACCAGGCGCTCTCCGAACCATTTGAAACCTCTAAATTTGGAGTTAACTAACGAAATCGATTAAACAAAATAGTCTAAGAGACACCAAAACAACAGTAGAAAAATAATTACCTGTGTAAATTTCGAAATCAGTTTCAAATACTCATTTCTCAACTGTTCGCTTTTCTTGTGCGCGCATTCTTCAGTGCCATCTTTCTTCACAGTCGCTTCCTTCAAGCGCTTATACCAGTGCTCTTTATCTCTAAAAAAATTAAATGAAGTATTATTTTGATCATTATTTTTCAATTGTTACCGTGATGTCCTAGTAAATATATAAATGCACGTCTGGGTGCCATCATTCTTCTGTATTAAACACTCATTAGACGAGTAAGATCCACCTTCTTTTTCCGTCAGGCAATCCATCATATCCTCATTCTGTTCTCCAATTGAATCTGCATCCTGTAATCAAATTCGTTTGTTTTATAAGTATGTTTCTAGGAAGAATGATAAATACACTTACGGATGTTTCAGTATTATCAACAACAAGAGCTGTCGATGAACTGTCAATATTAGCAAAATCTTCAAAATCATTGGATCCAATGAGATCAGCATCACACAACTTGCTGAATAGTTGGCTCTGACTTTTAACCTTTTTAGATTCTTCAGCAGTTTCCGCGGTTTTCTTCGGTTTATCCTCGTAATCAAAGTTCCACTGATTCTTGTCCAGTGTCACGCAAATTGGATACTTTTTGCTCCAGTGACGGATCTTGGTAAGACCCTTTGGTAGAAGCGTCACTTCCGCTCCTAACAGATTGTAAATGCGATGTCGCATGAAACTGTGCTTGTATTCGGGTTCGTTCCACATTGCCCGCTTCGGGATCTTCTGCTTCGTGTGGCTCATCTTCAGTAGGTTACCTTGCAGTCGCAAATACACCGATTGCGTCTGAGAGATGTGATAGGTTTGTGCGTTGTACTTCTCCGGGTATTCGTTCACCCAACCTTCGTACTTAGTTGGTGGTTGGTGTTCTTCCACTGCCGGGATCTGCAGAATAGCCTGCGGGGTTGGCGTTCGTTTACCAACACTGATACTTGGTTCGGTGAAGAGGTTAATATAAATGAGCGCGGCTGACGCGGCTAGGAACATACCGGCAATAAAGCCGCAAATGTACGGACCCAATGGAAGTCCCAAATATAAACCCAAAAATATACCAACCGCCAAATGAACTTTATACCTAAACAAATTAATCAATTATATAACAGCTTTCACCTTGAATACAAATTACTTTTGAACGAAATTTGTCCATGTGGGTTCCTCGGGCAGTGGACGCAAATCAACAAAACCGGACGGCGCAAATACTGTGGACTCTTTCCCCCAACTTTTATCTTCTAAATATTCGTTGCGAATTTCAATTCCTGTCTGTTCCTTGATTAAAACTTCTTCTCCGTCCAATTCAACATTGTCTGGATGCCCAATAAATTAAAATAAAGAAACTAAGTGAAACACCGATCATTACCTAATTGTAACAAAGCATCCACTCCGCTCTCGATGTCGCTTTTGGTGTCATCCTCATAACCCAAATTGATGTTCTGTAAATTCTGCAGGAAACCTACGCTGGCAACTGCTTCTGAACTCACCGTTAAATCCTTAACAATTTTTATTTTCTTTTTCTTCTCCGATGTAGCAGCGGACTCGACGGGACTACTTTCGTCTTTGTCGGACAGTGATGGTGTTTCGTCATCGCTTGACATTTCGACACCTAAAATAATCGATATTCAAGAACACCTCACGCGTTGAAGCTCTATTCGAGCGGATAATTTACCTCTAACATTTTTGCTTTTCAGCTGGAAAATTGATAGGAAAAGGATTAGGGAAGGTTGGGAAATGTTGACGAGTTTCTAATTTACCTTCTGTGGTAGAAATGATGCCGCAAGTTTTCGAAATGCTACTCTCACTGAGGTCCTCGGAATCAGAGAGGCTGGATCCGGCACCTCCTCCATCCTTTGGTCCGCCAGGGTCTTTGGCTTTGGCAGCCTTCGGGGACGATCCGTCGGCGCCCTCGCCGCCCCCACGTGTCTTGTACTCCGTCAACTTGCCCTCAACGCTCTTCGTGATCTTGCCCTGCCCAATAGAAAAGCAAAAGCAGTGTCATCTCGATAAACGTCAATGTCAGTACGTACCTTGATGTCAGTGAAGAATCGCCATGGATCTGTGGGTGGAGACGCATCGGAGGAGACGTCCACGCTCGTCGAGCGGCGCTTTAGTTTGATAGGACTGCTTTCCACATCGCTGGAACCTTAAAGTACAATCCTTAGGAAAGCTCCATGAAGCAAATGATTATCCTCACTAGTCTGATTGAGATCCGCCACAGAGTCCCCCTTCTCCTCCTCGTTTAGCACAACCTCCTCGATCTCCTCCGCGTTCGCATTGAATCGGATAACTATGCTTGGCACCGAGGAATTGATGGGCTTCCCTAGAATTTTAAAGTAATTAATATACGAAATAGATGGATCTACGAAACTAAAAAGTATTACTAAGCTTTGTGAACATATCCGCACGACTAAGCTTATATTAATGTACAAGCTACAATGAAATTAAAAAAAAAACAATGAAATATATTGAACAATAACGATAATACCAAAATTAAATAGGCTTATCTGTGATAGTGGGTTCGAATATTAAACAAAGAACGAAAATAGCAACCAGATTAGGAAGTTTATATAAAAAAAAAATAGAAGATAAACTACGTACAGATATTAGAGATTTTACCTTTCAGCATGCCTAGCGTTATTTTGCTCGCCTTTTTCTCCATCGCTAAGCATAAAATTTATGCTCTACCGTCGAAGAAGAGAAGAGGGGGTGCGGTAGGTTATTGTTTAAAGTTCGTTATAATTAGTAGGGGTTAAATGCAATTGGCATTATTTAGATTGGTGGAAGGTAAAGTGTATGAAACAACAATCTGGAAAATAGAATACACACTGAACATGCAAGCAGGCTACAAATGGACTGAACAAGAAATGGTTGCCACTGGAATTTTGATTATTTGCAACTTGTAGATAAGATTTATTATGCATACATAATTAGTAAGCTTACACATATTATCTTTAACTTCAACAAATCATTAACCAAATTATAATTGTTATTCAGTGACCCCTGAAATTTTTAATATCAACATGTAAACAAACACCAAATTCAATTGACTGCAATTGATTGCAATAGAAATGGAGTATTGTATGTAGCAACAGTAAATACATACCACAGTAATGCATGAATCATAGCTAGTTCAATTAGTGAAAGTGTATATATAGTTTGCTGTACATGTTTAGAATTGTTAATTAGATTGAAGTCCAGCGAAAGTAAACAGAATATGTGGTTACCTTTCCTGCTGCTGTCCATGTTAGGATCTAACGACTAGACTAGAGATTGCCCTGCTGAGATGCACACATCCATTACCGGTCGAGCAGACAGCCACAAACGCATTCCTCTCTCATTCAATTTTCCAAATGGCATTCGATCAATTATATATATCGGAAAAAACTTGCACAGCTCACCGTGACAGAACGTGACTGTCAAATAGGAAAACAACACTTATGTAGGCCACCAAACTCACTCAAAACAAAGTTCCAAATTCACTTGATAACATTCACTCATTTATGATTTTATTCAGGTTTCATCTTTAGCACCATTAATACTACAAAATCTCACATAATTGTTTAACATAATCCTTATTTAAGTTAATTATAGCGAAGAATTCAATACAATAAAGTATTATAAACTTGAAAATGTGATACGTAACATTGTGAAATAGGAGAAATGAAATATATCCTTGACTAAGGATATAATATATATATACCTTGCAGTTTTAATTGTTATTAAAATAAATATTCTAAAAGATGAAGCGCTCCGGGGATCGGAGTAACCTTGAAAGTGATGCACGTTACTATGGCAATGTGATTGTTACCATGGTTATCACATAGGATCTCATTGATCAGATCAAAAGTAAAACATATAATAAAACTTGATTAAACCATTTCAAAATGTATGTTAGATATCTATCAAAACTTAATTATAAACATAAATTAAATTAAATTCGAGGTTGTTTTATAGGAACTTCTCCGTTTAATTGCAAGAAAAAAAATAATTAAAACACAATCATAATTAACACATCAATCATTTTTTATTACAATAATATCGCTTAGAAGACATTAAGTCTAGAGATAGCAGAAATTATTGATTATAAATGAAAAGTGTTTAATACAATTAAACTTAATTAAGTTTAATATATATATATGTATATGATAGGTCAAGAATCTTGGTCATTAGTATGTACTTTTCAAACAACTTCATGTCTAGATATTTTTCTTATTAATTATTGACGCGCTATACCATATCCAATTGTATTATAATTATTTGAATATATACAACAATGTTTTTAACACTTTACGCTCTTTCTATTCTGGTTCAACTATTTTATTTGATTATCAAATAAAATAAACATCAAATACACAATTATTTGTTTGTTTATATATTTTTTGTTGTATCGCATAGATTAAAATGTACATTTGCATCGGATATATTTCAAACAAATTGTTATTATGAAATTTCAGCTTCATTAATTGCTACAATCTTTATGTCTGCGTCGTGTACTAATGCGTATGCTTGCATTTTGGCAGTGATTGAAACAAACTAATTCGTAAAGAAGATAACAAATATGTTTACATCTGTTTTATCAATAAATCGTATAAGTTTGAATTGCACCAAGAAATAAAATTAGCGTTTAGCGGGACGATTTATGAAGATTTATGAAATTGTAAAAAAAAATCTAAATTAAAATTGTTATTTTTTTTTATAAAAAAAATAGGACATAATCACAAACAAAAGTATTTAGATTCTAGACCATTTATTATATGAAATGATATTATAATTATTTGATTACGCTGGTTTTGCTATAGCATACGATAAGCAACGTATGTTTAATCAGATAACGAATGACAAATCGTTGACTATTGATTCACATATATCATATATGTAATTATTTATTTTTGAGTAACCTCTAATATATTTAGATTATATATTTATTTCATAGACATTTTTAGTCACTAAACGTGTTTACATAGTACAATTTTTTGTATTTATGTCAATTTATTTTTAGGTTTATTGATATTATCCAATTTATCTATGTACTCACACATTAATGCGTGTATTATCATTAATATAATAAATTTAAAAAGTAATGATAATCAACAAGAAATCTTACATAGTTGGTTCATTATTGGTATAACATAGTTTTAGAAGAGCATACTTGATCCACATATTAGTGTTAAGGAAACTCTAGTTTAAGAAGTACTTATATTAAAAGTACGAAAAGAATATTATTTCTTTAGAATCTAAATAAACTTTTAATATCCTTTTTTTTCCACATGGAGATTTTATTTTATTTACTAAGCAAAAGAAATACATTGAGTTTAAAATTTAAAGCAAAATTTGAAAATGTATTATTTTTTTAGTTGTAAACAACTTTTCTGATGTTTCCTAACAACGTTCCGCTACGAACTCTGAAAGTATTAATTTCAAAATCAAGGTAAATTACAATAAGTTAAATAAACTTGTTTATATATTTTTTTTTAGGAACGACACAAAATTAATATATTATGTATTAAAATGTTCGCAATTGTTTTTCTCATGAAAAGAAATACATTTTGATATATTTCTGATAAAAAAATACGATAAATATAATGTTAATTCTTTTCAAATTGTATCTGGTTTCGCTTGGTACTTTGGTTATAATTAACTTCTATTTTTGTAGCTGATAGGCGTACTACATTAACATATTTATCGATCTCGTTTGTGAATATATGTTTATGTACAGTTTATTTTTTACTAAGCAATAGTCAATCAACTTATGTTCTTTGAACATAAAAAAACTTGTTAATTACTATAATACTCATCTATTTATAAATTATCTAATAGTAACGTTGTAAATAAAATAAGCTACTTCAGACGGTTCTCAAAACTGCTAGTTCGCCCTGAGATAAACTAATATTTTGACCTGGGTCGTTGCGGAAAATTCTGATATATTAAGGGCGCCGCAAACTGAAAAAGTTTGGAAACCATAGCTTTTTATTAGCCAAAACTACGTACTATATTGGAAAATGGGGGAAAAACATCAAAGTTGTGAGGGGTAGTGGTACATATAAGTACCATTAGTCCTATAAAAAAAAATGTTTCCATAGTCCTAATGTAGAATTGAGTGGTAAATTTATGTACCAGCAGTCTCGAAAAGGTTAAAGTAATAATTGACGAGAATGAATTAATATAAATACTTTACCATCGAATATCTCCATTGTCTCCCCATGTTACGTTAAATAATGATTCCATTTTTCCATCACCACTTGTTAAATACCTTGGAATCCTTTTTGATCCTAAACTTAATCTCAATTCACATTCCAAACAACTCAAATCCAAAATTAAATCTAGATCCCCTCATTTCCGTTCCTTAACCTTCCGTAACTCCGAAATATCCATAAAGTGCCAAACATCCATATACAAATCAATATGCCGTCCTATACTTGACTACGATTCCCAATGCCAGATTCCTGTCCTAAAAAACCTGTCCGTATCCGAACGTTCCGCCCTTCGTATCCTCACCAATGATCGCCTCGTAATGATCTCTTTTACTCCAAATAGTCCCTCTCCTCGACCGATACCTGTCCCTCTCCTTGAAATTTAAATCCAAACAGTCCAACATCGACTCCCACTCTAAAGTATGTGTTCCTTGAAACCCAAATATCCTTCCCAAATTTAAACATCCCACATTATCCCTATCCCAATACCTAATGTCCCTCGATTGATGCCCTCCTCCTCTGCTTTTTTTCCTCATTCTTGTATGTTTCATATGTATATATTGTTATTGTTCAATAATTAAATATATGTTCCCGGGCGGAAAGACCTCGGTCGATAGTCCTTTGGCCAGCCTATTAATATTTTTTTCAAATTTATGTTAGAATTTATTTATTTTGAGAGTTGTATTATTATTTAGTTTTTTATTATTAGTATCATTTATTTATTTATAGAAAGTACTTCTTTTGTATTGATGTCTGGACAATAAATTATTATTATTTTTATAAATACTTTGTTAACATGGTATTTCTTTTCCATGTAATTATTAATGTTAAGAAATGTCAAAGATATTTAATTAAAAAATTGTAATATCATATATAAATATTATTTAAATGCGGATGGCTATGAATGATTAACAGGGCTATTACTTTATTGGATGGTTATAGATAAGTGCAATAAATGTTTGAATTGTGGATGGATCTAGGTGTGTGATGGAAACAATATAAAACTTTGACAGAAGCGTATTTGGTGGGTTCTGGTTTGAAAAGTCAAAGGAAAATTAGATGTGTCCGTCAAAAATGTTGAATTGGTTTGAATGATTAGGATTCTTGTGTAGCTAGTTAATAGAAAACAATGGGATCATGTGAGTGTCCGAGGATCAGCAGGGGTGGCTCAGACAGGCCAACGGCAGAGGTACGTCGCATACAGTACGAGAATGGCTGTCCGAAGGTGGATCCGGATAGAGACAAGAAGAAGGCAGCTGCGGCTGTCGATGACCATGGGGATCCATGCAAAAAAGAATTGTTGGTAGGTATAGTTTCGAATTATAGATTTGAATACGAAGGGACCGTTAGTTGCGCGCCATCAGATCGTCATCCATATATGGCTAGCAGATGGCGCTTTCGGCGGTCGGATGGCTCGATCTTTCGGTCCGAATCGGGGGGGTATAGGAAGAAGAGTTACTTTCCGTTCGGCCGGGCGATAAGTCGCACGCAGACTTCTAAGAAAACTTCTCATTCAACAAGAATCCCAGTGAACTCTATTGGGAGTCACCCTTCGTGAACTATAAAGCAACAAACAACTTCACACAACCAGAGTAAGTTAACACAATCGCCACTATTCCACATACGATAGAGGTAATCTTCTATGCGGGGGCCATCGACTCCAGTCTTTCCAGGGGTCCCGTTATTCCTTATTAAAACACGTGACGTGTACGCGAATTTATGAGCTGCAATTACACCTATTTACCGTTCTTATGTAAGCCAAAATGTTCGAATACGAGGGGGTTTTATTCGTTCTTGCATCGGTTATGTAAGAGCGAAAGCGAAAAATCGATTTTCACATTTCGGGAAATGTCGCCGGGTCCTGAGTGAGGAGAAACAATCTGATCGATTATAGATGTACGATTCTAATAGGATCGGAGATTCTTATAGGAATCAAAGAAGATCTTAGTGGGCGTCAGCTCATGCCTTTATTTTATTCGTTTGTCGTTTGTTTCTGGTGGTTCTTGTCCTTTTTGTACAACTCGGGGCTGCCATTTTCGTGTCGCGTGACGTTGCCGATGTGTGCCAGATGGCAACGCCGGTGCGGCCAAAAATATAACATTAATTTTTTCTATTATTCAACATTCTTCGCCGGTGTAATTCTAATTTTAATAAACCCGGAAATAGATTAACTATTAATTAATAATTCCTGCAAAACAAAGTTTAATTATTGTCCAATTACATGGAGCTATGTTGCTAAATTGTTTTTGCGTGACTTCACAAATTTACGTAATTCTCACATGGTCTATTTATTGACCCTTTAGGATGTGATTTCACTGTTCCGCGAAAGAGGGTGGCGTCGATTGGGTTGCCTGAATCCTCGTTCACGGAATAATCAATAATTTTATGCTCCATGTCCACAGATCATGTCTCCACCACCATATTCAGATCTTGGCAAGAACGCCAGAGATGTCTTCACCAAGGGCTACCACTTCGGTCTGATTAAATTAGATGTCAAGACCAAGACCTCTTCCGGTGTTGAGTTCACCACCGGCGGCACCTCCAACCAGGAGAACGGAAATGTCTTCGGTTCTTTGGAAACCAAATACAAATTCAAGGAGTACGGACTATCGTTCGCCGAGAAGTGGAACACCGACAATACCTTGGGAACTGAGGTTGCCGTCCAGGACCAACTCCTCAAGGGATTGAAATTGACAGGAAACCTGAACTTCTCCCCGCAATCCGGAAGCAAGTCCAGCAAGGTCAAGGCCGCTTTCCAGAACGACCTGATGGCCCTGAACGCTGACGTCGACTTGGACTCCAATGGCCCGATCCTCCAAGGATCTGCCGTCTTTGGATACCAGGGTTGGTTAGCTGGCTACCAAGCCGGTTACGACACACACAACAAGAAGTTGACCAAGAACAACTTTGCTCTTGGATTCTCCACTGGTGACTTCATCCTGCACACCAACGTGTAAGTATGACTTGAAAAAGATATCCCCGCCTCTCCCGTAACGTTCACCTTTTTCCTTGTCCCATTCTTATAATCCATCCTGCCTGCAATTTGGAAATGCGTCGAACTAATAGTGATATGATTACCGAAAGTGATGATGGACAAGAGTTCGGCGGCTCCATCTACCAAAGGGTCAGCTCAAAGTTGGAAACCGGCATTCAATTGGCATGGTCCACCTCCGGAAACAACACCAGGTTCGGAATTGGTGCCAAATACGACCTTGACAGGGATGCATCCATCAGGGCTAAGATCAACAACACTAGCCAACTTGGTCTTGGATACCAACAACGTCTCCGTGACGGTAATTAATCGACAAATTTCTAAAAACAAAAACAATAAAATAATACGTGTATTTTCCATTCCTATAGGAATCACCCTCACCTTGTCTGCAATCATCGACGGTAAGAACTTCAACAGCGGTGGCCACAAGATCGGTTTGGCCTTGGAATTGGAGGCTTAAACTCGTCGCTTCGTTAAGTAAAAAAAGCAGAAAGAAGCAGAAGAAGAAAATCACAAACCATCAGAAGAAGGGAAGTAACCAAAACAAAAAATCCAAAAAAAAAATAATCACTGCTAATTTCATTGATATATACAAACTCTCAAGTATTGTCTAGACGTATGTAACTTGAACTGCTGGTCTGTAGATATTTCTAATTGTTTTAAAAAAATACTTTTTAGCATGAAATACATGTAATATATAGTTTCTTATTATTATTATATGCAACACACAAACATTATGCAAAAAGGGGCTCCTCGTTCCCCAAACGGATATAATGATGACGATGACTATTCCGTCGTTGCATTGCGACCAAATTGTTTTCTAATCGGCGAATGCACGCGGTCTCGTTATACGTCGTCGGCTGGTGGCTGTTTTAATTTACATTATTTGGGTGTGTGCCCGTTCATCTGTGGGTGACGTAAATTTCCATTCCTAGAAGAAGTCCACAACAGGAGAAAAAAAAATAAGTTATTTGGTACAATGATGAATAGGACGAGCGCTTATTTTTCACACCAATGTACTGAAAAATACATGTTCATTAAAGTTATACAATATTACATACCACCTGTTTCCCTCTTTCACACCGTACATAACAAACAATTTTATAAACATTAAACCGTTTATTATCACGTATTTATGGTCAAATAAAAATAAAGTTTATGCAAACTATTATAATTATTTATTATAGATAATAAAAAGTGGTTTGAACAACTTTCCTGTTATTCTTTTTTGAATAAACGTGTACTTGGAGTTGCATATCACGCAATTCGTCAATTGAATTTAATGATTAAAAAAAAGGATAACTAATTGGCGAAATTGTGTCAAGAAGAAGCACTATCGTTTTGTTGGATATCTAAAAAATTTAATTTCCTTTAGACAAGAAAAACAATATTTTTATTTCGTCGCCCATCTTCTATATATCGAACACATTCGGAAAAGCGCGAAACAAAAGAATTCTCGGAGAAATTGTCAACAAATTTCCTAGCATTATTGGGCGCTTTGAAAAATTTAGAAAGTTCATCGTAATTAAAAGCTTTTCGACTTTTTGCCAATCTAATCTAATCTTACCTAAAGAGTACAATGTCAAACAATAAAATTAAGTGTAATTAAAATACTTAATATTAATTCATACGTGATATTTTTCATAACTATTCGATTAGAAACTATCAATAATATCAATTACTTAATCGTTGAGTAATATAGAAAAATAATTAGTTTCTGTAATAAAATTGAGCCTGTACCATATTTATTATAAGGTTTTATTTGTATTTAAAAAAATGCAAATAAAAAATTAGAAGATCAAGTTCTGGGTAAAACTTTCTTAAAATTTAATTATGTCATAAAAAAATAACTAAATGATTAACGGAGATTAATCTACTTGATGCAAATAAGTTCTGTTTAATTTTAAACCATTATGCAATAAACAGATAATGATTATTAAACTTTAAGTTAATCTCTTATCGCTTAATGATTCGTTTATCGAGGATTTAGTTGTTATGGAACGGAGTGATGGTTGCCTAAACAAAATATTTTTTATTGTCATTATAAGAAATATAACGGAAAATCATCCCTTGATTTCGCACCCATTGTAATGTATCGGGTTACTCAAAATGTCGTAACTAAAGTTTTGAAATGTTAATTAAAAGAGTGTAAGTATCGCTGGAATGCGTCTAGGAAGGATTTGTAGTGCGATAAGGGGGAAGACCTTTCCGGTGACCTTTCTTGTTGAAGAGACTGGGGGCGTCCGCGGAGGAAGAACCTTTGCAATCGTGGTACCACGGTTCTTCGACGTCGGTTACCTTTTCTCGTGAAACGTTTGCTTTTTTTAGGTAGGGGAGTAGTGGGCTGGCCGACGATGACTGGTTGCACCTTGAAACTTGGAACAATTTTGTATCAGTCCGAAACCAGCCGCTGGCAGACCGAGTCGCGTGGCGTTCGGTTCATACAAAACGGAAAATAATTTTTAAAAAATAACACACAAAAACACAGTATCTTTCAAGTATCAAACACACAAAGGAGAAGGAACGTAAATAAAATGTGCTAGACAGTTTACATCACAGTGCGCGTTGAAAGAAATAAATCATAATTAACAATTTTCTCGGCTGAAGGAAGGATTGGAGGTGTGGATTTGCGATGGCAACCCATAGGGAGGTCGGCGTCGGGGATTTCGTCCTTCTGGACAAAATCGACCTGGACCATTTCATGAAGAATCTGGAGATGAGGTAAAGACGAAAACATTTTCAAATTTCTTTGACGTTTAACACAAACCGGCATTCGTGAGATCAACCCTTCCGGGAAGGGTCGTCGTCGAACCCTTCTTTCATTAACAAAAAAAGAACCGCCAAACTTTATTTCGAGTGATTCGTGAAAAGTGGAAGCACGAGAAGACGAACCTTATGGAACGCGCGCATTTTCCGAATTTAGAAGCAATAAAAGGAGCGATAGCTATTTATAAACCATCAGGGTTTCAGACAAGTCCTCGAGCCCATCATCTGACTGAGACTACCTATCATGGGCAAGGCAGATAAGAAGTATAAGACATCGAAGATAGCGATCCTCTTTATCTTATTAGACTATCCACTTATTCGGTTTTTATATCGATGAGAGCATACAAGGCGCTGCATGACTAAGCGAGGAAAACCTTCATTTGTACGAGAAAGAAATGAGTAATGCCTCCAAACTGATCTGTATGTCGGACGAGCAGCGGCAATGACAACAACACCTACATACATGCTTGTTGCCTGCCCAAGGAGCGGCAACGGCGGAGGAAGAGCCAGAGGTGCTGCTCGATTCTCCTTGGAGATGTGCCGCCGGGAGAAAGTTTAAGCTCTCCCAGACGCTGCACAGATGGCCGTTACCACAATTAAATAAATTAATAAATACAAAAACGCGAAGTTTACTGCCTCTGAATTCCGGAGGCCCATCGAACAAACGCTCTTGAGAGTCAACAATAAAAAAAAAAAAAAAAAAAAAAAAAAAAAAACAAAAACAATATAGAAACGTAAATAAGACGTGTTAATTGACGGGTTTTAATACTCCACTCGAAAGAAAAACAAAAAAGCGCGCGTTTCCAACGTCAACAAAGATTCTTAATTCACTTCGAAACCACTTCAATTAACAATGCCACTTGGAAATAAACATGATTTCATCTCAGTCAATGTAAACTCTACTTTTTTTTTTAATGGAAAATTACATTTCTCGAGCGTATTTTCAACAAATTTTCTAAATACAGACATTTTTTTCAAATTATTATTTTATTTAGAATGTGTACCAGATGTCTTGTGGGAACTCATCCAACATGTATACATCCGAAATATTATTTAGTCATTTATTTGTACCGAGGTTTCTCCTAAAACTTGCCGTAGATCACTTATCTATATGTATGTTAAGGCCGCTTTCCACGACGGTAGTACCTTGAGCCAGTAGCATATTTAAACTCTACTGACACTTTCTTGAAGTTATTTATATATAGCTTATTGACTGTCATCCTCGCAAATTTTTAATTTGATTATATCGCGAATAATATCTCAGATCTCGAATGATATTATTTGAAACGAATTTAATTGGATGGCCGAGGTTATTTCAAGAACGAAAACAAACATCAATTTCAAAAATAAATGCACACACATCATTATCAATGAAAAGTACTTACGTTATCTACAGATGATCCTCGAATTTGTACAAAATTAAGTATATCACAGTGGAGATGATAAAACTCGAAATGTATAAAGCACTGTAATTTTAATAATTGCTTCAGCTTTGCCGTAACTAAATGCTTATTAGAAAGTAAAACTTCGTTGCAAAACTGATTGCAAAGTAAATCCTTTATTATTTTTTTTCGGTATAAAATAGAATAGAGCATTGTTCCAATTAATAGTTATACTTTAACATATTAAAATTCTTAAATCCTGATATAAATTTAAAAGTTCGATTTCGATTTCAACTTTTCGATTTCGATTTCAACTTTTCGATTTCAATTAAATGATATTCAAATATTTTTACGGACGATTCAGCATTTTGAAACACCTACTACTTGTTATTTATAAAGATTTTGTCAGCGCTTTTTTTATAGTAGGTGCATTGCAACAGAACCGAGAATATTTTGATCGAACAATGAAGTCATCTTTGACAATAGTAATATTATAAATAATTTTTTTTTAAATTGATTTCTTAATCTTGTTATTCATAGGAAATAGCGAAGGTAAATGTTTCTACTGTAGTGTCATTCAATGAAATTTTAATAAACGCCAATATCAAAATTCAACACGCAGACGACATTGTTTCTAAAATAACTGTTGACATCACCTGTACGTACTAGAAACTTTAAATGCAAATGAAACTGTGCGAGCGTTCAATGCGAAATGTTAAAGTTATTGACTGAATTGTTAAGGAATTTAAACTTTTTGACCCGCAACCAAGATCAGCCGCGAATAATAAAAATTCTAGCAGTGCGTTAAAGTAGCTTGTAATGTGACCCATATAACGATTGCTGTCAAAAATGACATCAAATAGATCTATCTAGATTTGTATTCTTGAGCTGTGTGTGATCGGCATAGTTATTAATTGGAGTGTCCCGCAACGTTTCCTATATTGCATAGAGCTTTTACTCTGTGTTTCTTATACACGATTTTACAATTTCGTTCTTGTCTGCATGTAAGAAAGTATGACGCGTTCACTTGGTCCGCCGACACTTATGTAATTTTCGCACGTATTCTACTTTGTTCCCCTGAGCCCGATCGCATGTGTGTGTGAGTTTAATACATTTGTATTATTTTCGGTGTTGCTTCTGTCGCGTTACAATTTACACACGCCGTTTCTTTCTCTTTTCGGTATTTTTAAATTAATTTCGTTGCGTTACACGACTGTAGCGGTACTCGACGGTTTCGGTTTCTGCAATTTGGTTGCTTCGAAATATAACGAGAAGCTATATAATAAACACACAATAATTATTAACCGTATGCAGAACATTTCGATTTTTGCAGTTGCTTTCGCTATTTCCAGTCCGACACAGCATATCTTCGGATTAAACGTTGAACGACAATACTTTGATAGTCATATGTTTGATTTAACAATATTTAAATAGAGATTATAGAAACTGCACAGAGAAATCATGACTCACTCCGAGACTTTTATCATGATAGCCTTATGAAAAATACAACAAAAATCGTCGATGGGATTCAATTTTTATTTCTTGAAAATGAATTATTTGAAAGTCTAATTGAAAATTATTATTTTCAATTTAGACTTTAACTGCACAAAGATAAATCATGACTCGCATCAAGACTCGATAGCGTCAGAAAAATCATCAATCTAAATTTGAGATTTAAAAGTCTGATTGGATATAATTGAGAAATTGTAGGGAATTGAATCTATTTTATTATTAAACATTAATATCAACTATTCATAGATTAATTTCGTTATAAAATTTAATTTTTATGAAATTATTAATGCGATATTCGAGTTATTTGTAGATATAAATGTGTAAGCGTGATATAGAAAAAAAAAGGGGCAAAGTCAAAGTTGAACGTTCTGTTCTAAAACGCATGTATGTACTTATATAAATGCATACATTGAAGAGAGAGACTCGCGGTCGTTGAATAATGAGCAAGAATGCGTGCAACAGCCAACGTCTCGTAGATATTCACATATGCATCTAAGTATAAAAAGAAGTTGAACGAAGAAAAAAAAACAAAACAAATGTAAAAACGAAACAATAATAACACTCTCTAGAAAGGACGTGCAATTAATTCTATGCAAACGAATATCGATCTTCGAACGACACAAAGGTTTACTCAACATCTGCGCCGTTCAACGTTTTCAGTTAATTTCAACGTTTCTTCGAATTCGACATTTACCCGAATCATAATAGTGCATTAGGAATTATGACAAATATAAAAAATGGTACTTTGTACTGAACACATTATGATACATTCGGTTAGACATCTGTGCGTTTCGCAATCCCCGGACTCGTCCGATTGCGAATTAAATTGCATTAAGTCATGCACATGGAAAAAAATGAAGTCATGGATGAGTCAGCCGCGAAAATTTCACTTAAGGAAATGATTCAACTCGTGCCAATAAAGATTGTACCCATATTTGCTCGTGCTTAATTATATGAAGGAAACACAATGTTGATAAACTATATAAACAGAGCAATGGAATTACATCGAAATGAAATGCGTTTTAAACCTATTCGTTACACGATAATTGATTTTATTGTTTTTTTTTCACTTTCATACTTGTATTATTATTATGGTATATGAATTTTGGTAAAGAAAATATTGGATTTAAATACAGTGGAACCTCGCTTAACGATTTTAATCCGTTCGAAAATTTCCGGATTTTTATTCGTATAGTAAAACATATTCAAAAATACACATAAAATGTGTATACAAGTTTTAAAAATGATGTAGCAGGCGCGCAATCCGGGACTTCTCTTCTCATCGTTACTCGTTAAGCGAGTCATTTTTCTTACAATTCATTTTGCTCGTTAAGCGAAATGCTCGTTCTGCGAGGTGCTCGTTAAGCGAGGATCCACTGTACTTCTATTTATCAGAAATATGTTTTTTTCCATTCTAATAATAATATTCTTTATTGCAACAGTCAAGACATTTTTGCACAACAATAATAATTAAAAAGAAAAAAGTCAACTTCTACAAAGGGCTATAGGTCTTTCTGTCTAATTTATTGTAAATATATTTAATTATTCTTAATGAAATTACAAAGGTTTATAATTTTCTTTCGTTGTGAGAAAATAAATGGAACTATTCCGTTAAACAGCGCGGGTTTACAACCCCATAAAAATAAACACCACAAAGTTCGTTGAGAGTTTTTTTTTAAATCAATTACGTGTAAAAAATAACTGTATACTGTTTTTTTAGAATTAATTTTTATTTATTTTGTTTTGAATAATTCAAACTTTACTAAAGTTTTGATTGATTTAGGAAAATACATATTTTTTTTTAGTAATATCGTATCAACGACGAAAACACTTGACTTCTTTAGATATCATAATTTTTCATGTTTTAAAGTCGTTTACAAAGTATAAATACAGATACGTATGCAACGAATGTCTGGTTGTTTTGCATGCGGGTGGGATTCGTATCTGATCGACACGTGGATGCGAAAATAGGAGCGCATGAAAAAGGGAAAAATCACTTTCACAAAATTTCTAAAAGTCTCGCCATTAGCGCGATTTCCTTTCCTTCTCTTTTTTTTTCATTTTCCTTTTTTTCCCTAGCAGTTTGAAGTAGGTACGGGTTATTGCAACGGCGCCAATTCGATCGAATCCTAATCAGCAGTAGATCGATAGTTTCTTAATCACTGAACTAGGTTGGGCTGTTTTTTTTTGTGCACCCTTTCCCATGTTATCTAATCAGGAGGGACTGGCCACGAGGACACCGCAACGGAAAGCCAAACAATCAATAATATGCGATTCGGAAATTGGCATTGAGAAGATCCTAGCTTCGAATTCCAAGTAGTATAATAATAATAATTCAGATGACCCGATTTTAGTCCAGTATTATTATTATTTTTTTATACATTTATTTCTCTCGTTTCCTTTCGTTTCCTATCTATGGATCGACCGGTAATTCGGCGCGTTGTTCCCTTTTTGTCTGTGCATGGACACCGGCAAAATGCAAATGCAGGAAATTGGATTGCATTTCGAACACGCACAGCCCTAGTTTCCTTTCATCACCTGCGTGTATATGATAGGCAACCAAATGTCCAGAGTCATGCCTCTTTTAAATCATCTATTCCCAGGCTCGTGATTCAGGTATTTTCTGGTTAATAAGTCTAAATATATATATAGAGTTGATGCAATCCACTACAAAGATAACAACCACAAGTACTTTTCGCTGAATCCAGATAACGCCTATCGTGGAATAGTTATATGTTTAGTCTCATTGCACAAAAATAAAATAATCTTGCCATTTTATAATCTACCCAATAAAATACATGAGCAATGAATGCTATAACTGTAAACAATTGAATGCCAACTTTAACATTTACACTTTTAAAGGAAAAAAGTATTGAAACGCCTTAAATCCTTTAACAATTATATCTGTTATTGAATCTTAATAGATATTTATACATTTGTTAAAAGGTTTTTCCTTAATAGACATTCTACCACAAGGTCTGATGCTATCAGAAGGAAAGGTCTGTTGTTAAGAATAGTTATTACAGCAAATTCAATTCGTAATAAAAGATTATTTATGTGGTTTAAAATCAGGTCCACATTAAGGTCCAGACCTCCTTCATCTGTTCATTAAAACTTAGGACCCTGAAAATCATCCGTTCTATAGGCGACTTAGATTGTTTAATTATCGTAAGCTATGAAATTAAACAATGATCGCATCCCAACGTTGTTTGCGTTTTGTTTAGAAACGTTAGTAAACACTACATAATATTTTGTAACAATTACTTTTAAGAACGAAACCAATTTAAAATTATAATAAGTTTATAAATAAACCAGAAATTGCTTAAATATAATTGCAGTAAAAATAAAACAAATAAAAAACTATGCCTTATTGTTTTAGTCGTCGATTCCAATGACTTATAAGTATTGATATTGTATTTGCAAAATTGCCATAAATAATTAATCTTTCATATTTGTCCGATGTACATATCTGAAAAAGGTGGGAGGTGATGTATCCTGCCACACATTCATAAAAAAAATTTCGTTCTAAACAAAAAGTGATTCACGACAATACAATTCCTATTGATCGTGCATCTTCACTAAAACAAATGCAAGTTGGACAGAGGTTTATAATAAGATAAAAGATAACATCTAACATACATCAAGTATTTAATAATTAACAGCTAATGAAAGTTAAGCAACTTCTCTAACGGATAGAACTTGGATGGATAGTTTCCTAAAATGATACTCTAATTCTGGGACGAGCAACTTCTTTGTTCTTGAGATCAACTTTTTAATTAATAAGTGATCTACCTGATCTAATTAAATGAAGATTTTTGTCTTGTTTTACAAGCGTCAAATTCAATATTATCAGATTTAACAACTATTTGGTATCGACCAAAAATCGCTTCGTAATCGACCCGTTGGCAACACCAGCTCTAATAGTAATATTAAATTTTGTAAATCATACGAAAGTATGTCATGACATCTCCCTTCCGTTTTAACTATATCCTTGTAGAATAAACAACAAATTATTAATATTATATCTTGTGTTTTGCAGATTTCGAAATGGATACATTTACACGTACATCGGAGAGGTGTGCGTCTCCGTGAATCCTTACAGGATGATGAATATTTATGATAAGGATCACGTACACCAATACAAAGGTAACCTAGCAACTAAGCGCAATCGTGAGAAATAGTTAGAGACAATGAAGAGCGTAAAGGAAAAGTCTGCCAATTAGTTCGTTGCTTAATGCCGGCAGGGAATTATACATGAAAGAAAAAAAAAGATAAAAAATTGAAAAAAAAGTTATAGAACACGTACAACAACATTTATAGGTTTTGAATTTTCCATGCGAGCGCAACGATAGCTTATCACCATTATTGAAGCTAATGTGAGTGTGCCCTTGTACGGTTTTCCTGTTTTGATAATTAGCGAAGATAAAATATGGTTTTTATTTGATATTCTGGAAAATTAGGAGTAATTTTGTATGAATTATTTTGCCAATGTTTTAGAAATCGGTTGCTATGTACTTTAAGGAAACAGTGAACCTTTCATGAGGAAATATAACGATATTATTATAAATAATAATTAGATATCATTCATATAACTAATCTATTTATGCTTTACAATTTTAATTTATATTGATGTTTAAATTTGATATCAAACTTTATTTATAATGTCATAAATATATGCAAAATTCTAGTAGTAAATATTTTATACTTTATTGTTACTTTGTCAATTGTACTTACCTGTTTACAAAGGGCGACGAACCTGTACTATGCAGGTATAATTACCTATGTCTATTTTAAGATAGGATATTTCTCTATTATTTAAATACTTTACAACTTTCAAATATTATATTTTGAGTTTATACTCAACTATATATTGATAATTTCATCAATATTACATATCTACTTAGAGTTAGAATGTAAAAATATAATAGCAAACCATATTTTTTAAGTTAATACTGTTAATTTGTCAGAGCTATCATAAATTAATAGCTGAAGCAGTGTTAGATACTAATATATTATGATATATGCATATTTTATTTATTAACTTTGATTTGTTTTTGTAATTGATAGATCGGGAATTATTCGAGAATCCTCCGCATATATTCGCCATTGCGGATGCCTCTCACAAGGTGATGAGGCAACAACGTCGGGACACCTGCATAGTCATCTCCGGCGAATCCGGCTCAGGGAAGACGGAAGCGTCGAAGATCATCATGAAGTACATTGCGGAGGTGACGAACCAGGGTGGTCGCTCGGAAATCGAACGTGTGAAGAACGTCTTGATCCAATCGAACGACGTCCTGGAAGCCTTCGGCAACGCCAAGACCAATAGAAACGACAACTCCTCTAGGTTTGGCAAGTACATGGACATCCACTTCGACTTCAAGGGAGACCCAATCGGTGGACACATCAACAAGTACTTATTGGAAAAGTCGCGCGTTATTTACCAACAAGAGGGCGAGAGGAACTTCCACTGTTTCTATCAGGTAACCAAATACATACAAGCTTCAAATATCAACAAATTATTGCTGTTTGTTACTGAAGATTTGATCTGGATTTATTTGATTTATTTCTATAATTTAAGTAAAACATGACATATTTTGTATTTCGCGGTTCATTGTGATTGATGTCTACTTCCATTGATCATACTTCCATAGAAACAATATATTTAAAATTAGATTATGTCATGCGAAAGATTTTAGAAATGTTTTAACATATTAATTCTAAAAATATTTTTTTATAAAGATATCATTCTTTATTATTAACAAAAAAAGATTCAAAGTAATTTCCAATTAATTGCTCTCTCTTAATAGAAAAGTTTTCGTTTCAAATATTATATACCGACGACTGCTCACATGAATAAATATATAAAAAACAGCATTTAAAAGAAAGTCATACATAACTTTATATTATAATAATAATATTGAATAAGTATAGATATCTATAGAATGTATAATAAACGCGAATAGGCATGAACTTGATTTATACACTTTTACTTTGTTTCATGAGTTTAAGTTATATTTGGAATAATGCTACATAATGATAAATGAACAATTGTGGATTTTTTTAATTAAAAAATCTATTGAGCTGATGGTTGCTTTTCATTGAGATATATTTTAATTATTAAAAATGGCTCTTCAGTATTATTTTCCAAACAATGTTACTCTTTGAGACTATGATATAGAAATATTTAATGTTTATAGTTTGTGATTTTGTGTATAATGATACATATTTTTGTTGCTTTTTAGTTATTGATGGGATCACCAGATGAACTATTAAAACGTTTGAGCTTAACGCGAAGCCCAGACAATTACTTCTTCGTGAAACAGGGACGCTCTGCCAATGTGGATTCGGTGAATGATCGCATGGATTTCAAAAAGGTGGAGAACTCGTTGAAGAGTTTGCAGTTCTCCAAAGAGGAGATCGACTCGCTATGGCGAGTTGTGGGCGCGATCATGCATTTGGGAAACGTGGAGTTTTCCACGGATGAGGATAAGGTCGTGATTCCCGATTCGAGACTCATGAATACCATTGCCAATCTGCTGAAGGTAACGCGCGAGGAATTGACGGAAGCGCTTTGCGAGAGGGTGATTGCGGCGCATGGAGATGTCATGAGGAAGGAGCACACGAAAACGGAAGCTTTGTACGGACGGGATGCTTTAGCTAAGGCCATTTACGATAGGCTCTTCACGTGGATTGTTGACAGAATTAATTCGGCGATTGCCGTCACCGATACTGGTTACAACAAGAAGTACGACAGCTCATTGATCGGTGTACTGGATATTTACGGATTCGAGATTTTCGATAACAATAGTTTTGAACAGTTCTGCATCAACTATTGCAACGAGAAACTGCAGCAACTCTTCATCGAACTAGTACTTAAGCAGGAACAGGAAGAGTATACTAGAGAGGGTATAGAATGGCAAAATATTGAGTTCTTCAATAACAAGATTATTTGTGATTTGGTTGAGGCACCTCACAAAGGCATAATTGCTATTTTGGACGAGGCATGTCTGAACGTTGGAAAAGTTACCGACGAAATGCTTTTAGAAGCAATGGACGAGAAGCTGAAGGGTCACAAGCATTACACGTCTAGGCAATTGAAGTCAACGGATAAAGACCTGCGACATAAAGTTGATTTCAAGATTACCCATTACGCCGGGAACGTGGTTTATTACATAAACGGGTTCATGGATAAAAACAAGGATTCGCTGTTCCAAGATTTCAAAAGGCTTTTATATAAATCCAGCGATGCGAACATCAGCAAGATGTGGCCAGAAGGGGCTCAGCACATTACGGAGGTAACCAAAAGGCCGTTGACCGCAGGTACCCTGTTCAAAAATTCCATGTCTGAACTGGTGAAGAATCTGCAGAACAAGGAACCGCATTACGTGAGGTGCATCAAACCGAACGAAATCAAATCGCCTAGCAATTTTGATTTCGAACGCGTCAAGCATCAGGTTAGCTATTTGGGTTTAGTGGAAAACGTAAGAGTGAGGAGGGCCGGTTTCGCATACCGTCAGAGGTACGACCGTTTCCTGAAGAGGTACAAAATGATCTCGCCGAGCACCTGGCCAAGCTTCCGCAACGGCTCCGATCGCGATGGCACGAAGCAGATCATGGACGAGTACCGATTTGCTGACGACGTGAAGTACGGCCACAAGAAAATCTTCATTCGATCTCCGAAAACGTTATTCGCATTGGAGAACAAGCGCAATGAAAGAATGTTCTACGTGGTGACTGTGATTCAGAAGTCTTGGAGGGGCTATAAGGCGCGCCAAGAATATAAGAGGATGAAAGCCGCTTTCGCGATTATGAACTATTATAGATGCTACAAGATGAGAAGCTACATCGACAAGCTGGAGACGAAGTTCCGTTCGGCGAAGCAGATGAAGGATTACGGAAAGAGTATCAAGTGGCCTGCACCCCCTCTGCCCCTTCGTAAAACCGTTCACACTCTCCGCAAGATGTTCAACTACTGGCGAGCCTACATGATCCTCAGGAAGATTCCAAAGAAAGAGTGGCCTCAGCTCAAGCTGAAGATTACCGCGGCGTCGATACTTAACAAGAAGAGGGTGAGCTTCGGACTGGAGCGCAAATGGGAGGGCAACTATCTGTCGCAACCCTCAGAAAATACAAGCTATTCAATTTACAACGAGAGCGTGAATAACCTGAGGAACACGCAGCACTTTAAGGAGGTTCTCTTCTCCTCGTTCGTTACCAAATTTAACAAGTTCAACAAATGCGCCGAGCGAGTGTTACTCGTTACCGATAAGTGCATCTTCAAACTTGACAAAGATAGGTTCAAGAACATGAAAGAGGGCGTCGAGCTTAGCGCAGTGACGGGAATCAGCGTTAGCGCTGGACCGGATCAGCTTGTTGTTATCCATTGCGCTGGCGGAAATGATTTGGTCGTTTCTTTACATAGCACGAGAGGCGAGGACAAGATCGGCGAACTTATTGCACTTCTTTTCAACAAGTACGCAGAGTACGTATATTACATTTAATCTTACCTTAATTTTCCGTACATCATCACTCGCAGTTTTGATACATCTCTACATGAGTTTTTACATAATATTTGTTTCTCAAAGTATCGCCATTTACTCAATCATATTGGTTGAACAACTTGAGAGTAGATGACAGAAGTATCCTTCAACTTTGAAATCGTTAATTGACATTACAAATAACACTTTTCAGAAGTTTCATCTGACTTAATCTAATATATATGTTTGTTTTATATTTTTCTAGTATAAAGGGCGAACTTCAAGTGAACATAAGCAAAGTATTAATGTGTTCGTTGGGCGGCAAACGGAGACAGATCAGTATTCAAGTGAGTTCCGAGATCAAATCTGCGACCTTCCGGAAGGACGGTGCCAACATCATATACAACCTACCACCGGACCACGCGATCCTCGAGAACGGCAACAGCCACATCAAAGACTACTAAATAAATAGAACCTTTACCCAAAAAAAATCAAGCAAATAAAAAACAAAACTATTAAATTAAATTACATAATACAGTGATAACAGATAGTTAGAGCATGCGAACCGCAAGGAGATAGTAGATGCAAACAAAACGTAACCCGTTGTGTACATATTTATATATTCTATGATTCTTGTTTTTTCTTTCTTTTTTTTAATCAATTTTGTAAATTATGTTTTTAAACTGTGAATGAGAACGAAACAGATACAACCGGAGATTTCTCCATAACATTTATTTTTATTTGTAAGAAAATGTTTTAATTAATTATTGTATTATTATGAAGTAATATTATTACGGAGATGCTGAGAACGTGAAAAGAAAAACAAAGAAGAGTATATGTGCCTTGTTCATTTTAAGTAAAATCCATTAAAAATTATAAACGTTTTTGATTGCCACAACCCAATTTCTAGCAGGAAATATAAATCATGTGTTGCTTTATCGCAGTCGTAAATGTGTTATATTAATATCTATTCTAATATTCACAGTTGATTTCCTTTATTTTTACGTGCTTCTAAAATTACGTGATTGCACTTGGACGATAAAATTCGTTACCTCAAGTGTATAGAGTTGCATGTTTTATTTGTTCTCTTAATTATATTTACGATCTATACAGCGAGAACAATGAGAGAATAATTATTTGGTTGAAACTAATTGGATAAACATTCTCATTAGATTTTTATTTTTAAGCAAGAATAAGCATTTCAACAATAAGCAACACAAAATGTAGAGTTTAAAGATATGTTATATTTATGCTACTGCGACTTTTATTCTAAATTGATGCCAAAATCCGCAATAGATTATTAAATCCAGTAATTTGAATTTATTTATAATATTGTCGATAATTTCAATGGGGAACTGGGCCACACCTAAATTTGTATAACTAGCCCAAGTAGTTTAAAAAAATAGTAAGTTCATAAACATTGCATTGATGTTGCTAACCAATTCACTATAGTTATTTGTATATTTTAGCTAAGTCAATTGGACATCTGTATATGACTGTTTTGATTTCATTCTAAATAATATCAATATCATATTAACTAGTATTTTTATCTCGGTCCTATTTCTGAGTCCTTTTCGATGCTTAGATTTTATGATACAGACGACGATAAATTTATAATTTGAATATATAGATTTTTGGTTTTTAGAATATACAACCCATTATACAATTATTATGGAGTTTTCTTAATTGTCATTCATTATGTATTGTTGGATGCATACAATTAGCAACCAAAAACAATTTTATTTTAGAAATGCGTTCTTACCAGAGAGTCGAACTAGAACCGAATCTCAAACCGAAATAAACAGAAATTCCTAAATTTTTAGACTCAACAAATTTCTGAATCAGACAACTTTGTCAACTGAATCAACATCGTGATAACATTCGACTCCCATTTCATAGTTTATCTAACTTACTAGTTATCGACTGCTGCTAGCGACCATTGAATTAATTATCAACTGAAGGTCCCCTGATCGACTGTAGCTTCACGTACATCTCCCAAGATTTTTTTTTAACAGACAATATCTTAAACATGGCTCTTTGCTCCAAAAATAATGCCGACCCTTTAAACTATAATATGAACCAAAGTGAACAACTATGTTGACCAAAAGGAGTACAACTGCGACAAAATAATAATGGAGTAGTATCCTCTTCGTTATTACATATAAAAATTTAGTCATAAATTTAATAATGTGGATCAATAATGTATAGATATTATGATTATATACATATATTTATTTTCTTGATGTGTTATGTGTAACTATTTAAATAAATGATATTATTAATATAATTTTTAATAAGTTCCATTAGAACCAAAGGTTCGAATTCTTTCTTACTTGCAAACATCTTTTCAAAACTTTGGTTCGTAACATTTTTTCTGCTGAAACTTTTTTAATATTATCTTAATTTTCTTTGTCTTCGTTGCTAATAAGGTTTTCTAAATCTTTTTGAGCTATCTGAACAACTTCATTTTCAATTCCTTGGATGATATTTTATTCAATCAGTACAAGTTATGTTTAATATTTCTTAGTGAGTTTTATCAAGGTTTTCGGAAAATTTGCGGACTTCGTTATATTGAAGCTTCGTTATCAGATTTAACGTTAATCGAGTAATTATTATGTCCAACCTTTAGTAGAATATATAAATACACATATAAGTACATGAAAACTCCACGAAGTATCCTAGTTCAGTGGTTCATAACATTTTAACTGTCTCGGCACACTATTTTAAAATAGTGATTTCAAATAACTACAAAGTACACTCTTTTTATGCGGTTTTGAGTGCGGTGAAGAAGCATTTTTTTTAAATAACTATTTTAGGCCATTTTGACACGTTTTCACACAAATTGGCAAACCATTTCATCGAAAAAGATGATAATTCTGAACGAGCATTCAAGTTTCAACGAGAGTTTGAAAAAAATAGCAAAGCCATCGCAAAGTTTAATTGTAAAAGGGAAAAAATCAACATGCAAAGTTGAGTCTAATTTTACTTGTGAAAAATCATTATATTCAGGACATAGATCTGATATGCTGACTATCTCGTCTAGTGATGAAAGTGATTTCGAACCAGTTCGCAAATTATGCCGAAC